AGCTTATATAATTGAAATAAAAAAAAACTTATTAACCAGTTAACTGAGGTGAGCACATAAAACTCTGCGTACCGTTTCTCTTGTCAGAATTGAAGTAATATGTTGTGTTAAGATAAAGTCCCACTTACAATATTTTATTTCATATTGAATATTTTGAGAATATATTTTGACTTATTTTCATTGCCATCTAAATAGCCAATGATCAAATATTTACATACATGATGAGTATACTCGTGAATACACAAAATTCTGCTACTTCTCCGTGACGAATATATTCGTCAATCACTGGTTAATTGAACTCTTTTAGAAATTCATTACAGTAATTTTTTCTGTTGATCAATCCATATTTTACTTTTCCCTTTATTACCAGAATTACTTAAGTTTTTAATTATTTAGAGCGATCCCAGCTCATTTTTATCATTGTAATAGGTTCTTCAATTTTTATTTTACTGATATTTTATTTCACTGTATAGTTACTTAACAAAATAGCTTCTTAAGCTTCAAAACATTTAGAGCAATCCCAGCTCATTTTTATCATTATGACAGATTTTACAATTTTTTTATAACTAAAGCTTATACAAGTAATCTTTTCCAGTTTGCTATATTTTTGTTTATTAACTTATTCCAATCGCTATTCATTTACCTTACTTCTATTTTTCAACTTCTTCAACTGATTATTTATTTAAAAATATCAAATATTTCCTGCTATCACATTCAATAATATCAATAGTGTTTGTTAAATGTTGAAAACTTATTCAATAATATAATTAAATATCTGCAACATTTTGCACTTAACTTTAAAAACAAATTCTTTCCACAAAAGAAATGATTAGATTAATTATGGTCTCGACACGTCCGTGTCTTCTATATAGCAGTGTAGGGCGTTTAAATTTACGACATTAAAGTATATATATATATATATATATATATATATATATATATATATATTTCTACATAATATATATAATATTATATCTGCTATTTCGTTTCGTTATTCGAGAATTGCGCCGTGTGCGACTGGAAATAAATAGTATGTGACAAGCCAAACATTCGCCAGGAATACCAATTCTGAAGTCTCGGGTAAGTCTTCATTAATGCAATAATAATAAAATTCATTTTGTCGTTCTTTTCAATTTGGCAATCACGTTTTACGCTGACGTTTCCTAAAACTTGTTTTGGCATCATTCCTCCGACATATATTAAGCCACTTACACATGATCACATATATAAAGTCTTACAAGTTACCAAAACTATTGAGTTCAAAACCAAAGTGTTTGGAAAGAAAACTGCAGCGTAAAATAAATTTTGGATGACTTTGAATTATGATTCGAATTAGTTTTTTTTAACTCAATACTTAATTTACAAAAAAAAAATTCTTCTAACTGAATTTTCTTTTAAATGAGAAAGATTTTTTGAAGTCCATGGAAAGGCAGCTTCATCTTGGCTGCTTTGCAATATCAACGTTGTTTAAGATAGTGTCATTTATTCCAAACTTTATTATTGGATAGCGAGGTTGCATGTAAAGAGCTGCACTTTTGAAATAAGAATTTGCAACAAACTGACACATGTAATTAGACAACATTTTGATATCTTGGCCTAATTCGTAATTGTCAGTTTAGTAGATAACATTTATATAAAACAAGAACTTTGTTATTACATAATTTGTAACACACATTTTTGTTCAATTTATGTTATTTATTTTAGTTTGATACTTCGAATATCATGCAACTTTAATCATACTTGAGCAAAATATCTTGCTCGTATTGGTTAGATATATATTGAAAGATAAATAATGAAAAGTTCCAAAGTTTTTGCTAAAAAAAAATCACCAATTGGGGGTGACGATAATGATAGTATCTTCAAGAACAATTCTGCCTCAGTTCTGAATTAATAATTTCAAAAGTACATTAATTTTTGGGACGAATATTTTATTTTAGGTGTTACTTTAGTTATGTATATTCGACTTATTATCTAATCAATAGCTAAAGAAAAGTTGATCTCAGACTGAATTCTTTATAGATTTTTAGTAGTATGTACGACTAATGCGATAGGTACCTTAAAGCATATTTTTGATAATTCAATGAAGAAAAGTTAAAATTGTTAATCATAAGCTAACTAAATAATTGGGCCATCTTTCAGATAAAATAGTTATTTGATGTTATATTACCGGTCTCTTTGGTTGAGTATTCGCATGAGCTTGATAGCTCCCAAAATGCCAAGAAGCTATGCTTTTGGCAAAAGTACGTGCTTCTGTATAATCGATGGTTAAACCTAACCTCCAAATGGCACAAATATAAAAATATAACAATAGTTTGTCTTTTTTCTCCTTACTTTTTTTTAACTCTATTGCATTAGATATTATAGCATTATTTCTTTCGGGGGTACGACTTGAACAACTTTACCATATCCATATACCTACATACGTATGAATAGTTAATAGATCTCTGTACACAATTTGGGAATTTCATACAGGCTCAGAAATAGGAAATTCAAGTTCAATTTTATGTTTAGCATCAATTTATGGTTATCATTTTTATATCCACTTTCTGATGTAATTTAGGGTTCAATTCTCCGATGAAATAGAAATGTTAAGGTAACACTGTCACGGGTCTATCTTCGTAGGGATTGGTAGAACTAATTGTAAAAACTATGTATTTGCTCTGCGATCAGGCGTTTTACACATATGTGATATCAATAAGGCATCATGAAGATGCACTTATGATAAAATTGTTATTTTGTAGGCTAGGATTTATGTATGAAACGCCTGATGCAAAGCAAATACATAGCTTAACAGTTTGTTGCTACCAATTCATACGAAGATAATTCAATAACATAGTTTTACTATAAAATTTCTATTTTATCAAAGAATTGTATCATAAATTACATCAAAAAGTTTATATAAAAATGAATACCATAAACTGAAATAAAACACAAAGTTGAACCTGAATTTCTAAATCCTATATGTATGTGAACCTGTATGTAATTCCCAAATTGTATATACATCCCTATAAACTCTCTTCATAGGTATATATATAATGTATGGTAAAGTTACTGAAGTACCTCGTGAGGAAACAATGCTACCAATGTTACTATCAATTCATGCAAAGATAGACCCGTACATAGTGTTACCATAACATTTTTATTTTATCGAAGAATGCGTTTTGATGTTTAATTTGAAAATTTTCTGGTTCCCCATTTTTTTAGGATTACATCTCTGCCAGTCGGAAGTTCTTATTAATACATCAATCTGAATAGCGAAGTTTATATAATCATTTGTGTATGTTTAATTTAATGACAAATAAGATTGCTCGTAGAACTTAACCGCAATCGTAAAACCCCTCCATTTTGTGAGCTCTATAAAATGTGTATGTTTTACGTTCACCGATGCACGCACACCGGTACGAAATACGTGCGTGTGCGTAAGTGTTTGTGCCGGTAAGAACGCAGGCAAATCGTTATGTGATTTTTAGGACTATTTCATAACAAAAAAAATTAAACCGACATTTGATGGCTTTTTTATAACGTACTTTGTCATTTTAATGATTTTCAAACACTGCATAATGACGTGTTAAGCGCGACGCGGTTTCTTGTGAATCGAGTATGTAGGGTAAGGTTGCTCAAGTTGTACCCTGGCTTTATATTGTCTAAAAATTATAAAAAACTTCTTTTGGTACTGTTAAATAGTACGATATATTTGACTAAGCAAACGTTTTCACTTGGGTGGTTTGTAAATGAGTTGGATAGTTACTACTCTTATTTTGGACTTAAAAGTAAGACTTAACTAGTGGGGCGCATGGCATCGTGCCTTAAGGCAAATTGCTGGAACTTTCTGGACTAAAAATTATTTTTTTAAAAAGATTAACATTGTTGAAAAAAATTTACTCCGAACAAATTAAATTTTTGAGAAACTATAAATATGACAAAAAATTACTTTTTTTGAAAAAAATTTTTTTTTGAAATGAAAGTTTTCTTTATTTTGATGTATTTTGGAAATTCTGAATTTGATGTGCATATGTCTAATGATCATTTTTGACCGCCAAATGGCATTTTTTTTTACTTTTTTTACTGGATCTCTGAAACCGCTAGACCTGCCTTTGATCATTCTGAAAATTTGATCATTTCTTCATCTTGTCAATACAAGTTAAATGTTTCTTGGATTATTAAAGTCGGACGCTTCGTTCTCTTAAAAACCGAGTAACCATTTCTGGCACTTTTCGCCCCGTATCTTCAAAATGGCTAGACCTGCCTTCGCCAAAAACTAATCAGCACGTCTGCTTATCAATACGAATCGAATGTTTTTTGAATTACTCGAATCGCTTCATCCGTGTTCCCGAAATCGTCGACGAAAATTTGTATTCGCACACACATACATACACGCACGCACACACACACATACATCAATTTTTTCTAAGGTATGCCGAAATGTTCAGAAGTTTTTGAAACGTAAAGATATATAAAAATTTTTATTTTCGATTTTTTTGCGATTACTATAACTTGCCCTACGGGAAGTTAATAAGATTCAGATTGTTCTTTATTAATGTTTAATTAAATATTATGGACTATACTAATATATATAATTAGTATAGTCCATAATATTTAATTTTAAAACTTAGCGATTATTTAATCAAAATTTTGACAATAACATAGTACTTTCTTATTGTGATCATAAATAAAAAAAATAATACGAACATTTCATATATGCTCTTAATTAAGTATTTTCTTAGGAAGAAGAACCAAGAAACTTTAGTTGGAGTGCAATATATATATATATATATATATATATATATATATATATATATATATATATATATATATATATGGTAATATATACAAGTTATTAACTTAATAATAAAACTGATATTTCTATTTTATTTGATTTTATTTATTTGGAAAATTACATTTCTATCCGAATTCTTTTACTTCGGAACAAACATAATCATCAATATATGAGAATAAGAATTACAAAGTTCACTTCAAACTTCAAAGTCAATACATTTTTATCATCGTTGGTGTCTTACAGTATCACTAACGATGCGCCAGCTGTCACCTTGGCATGTCAAAAGAAAATGCTGATGGAATGATATTTGCGTCACTTTAGTAGATTTGGGATTAAATTTGACTATACCACTAGATGTTATTAAAATCGTTGGTTGTGATCCAGCGGCTCCACCTGTTACTGCTTGAGCATCTAAAGCCATTAATACATGTTCTGAAGGGGGCAGGTCCGAGAGATACTTCTGAATCGCTTCTTTTCCAGCTGATGAATGTTCTTCCCAAATCAGAATTCCAGAATTCAAATAAAGATCTGACATTGTATGACGTCTATTGTCCATTGCGTTATAATATAGTTTAATAAACTCTTCTGCTATGCTGCAAGCTCTCTTTACATTGGTATTTAGCTCCATTTCTTTGATTATGTCAAACACAAAAAGGCAGCCTATTCTTTTAATTAAACACTTTGGCATAACCTCAAAATACTTGTCAATTTCCAATCGCAGAAAGTGACTTGAAGTTGGTAGTTTATTTGAAATGGTTAAGGAATAAAACCAATAATTCGAACATTCGAACACTCTTATAACAATAAATAAGTTCTAACTAAACTACTTATTATACAATGGAGAAAGATACTCGAACAAAATTGTCAGAAAGATAGTATGAACAAGAGTCATAAGGAGCTGTCAAGATTAGTGATTATACACCGGCTTATTATTTTTTATGTAATTACCCGATCTTAGTGTTGTCCAAATATGAAAATAAAATATTTGCAGGTGTGCAACTTAACGAAAATGTGACGCAAACAAAGACCATTGTCAAAAATATAAATTAAAAAGAAATGGAAAAGTAGTTATTTCTCTAACGGAGCTTAGCCTCAGTAATTATAATTACAAAAATATGCATATGAATTTATATGCGAAGTGATGAATAATAATTTTGATATTTTTTTATATTTTGGCTGGTTAGAAAAAAGTTGCCAGATTATAAAATATTAAACTTTGTATGCAATCATAAGTATAAATAAAACTGAAAAATAATTAATATTGCAATAGACGTTTCTTAATACATCCATATGAATATATATTGCATTTAAAAAATCAAAAAAAAAATAATGTTTACTTCAAAAATATTTTTTTTCGAAAAAATATAAATAAAAAATAATCAATATGATTTTCTATTTATTTCTTAAACATACTTATAATATCTGTAATTATATTAATTAAATTAATTTGTTTAACATATTTTATTTCATTTTATTTATTTTGTGTTCTAAAAATGTATTTTAAGTGTGAACGTAAGCTGTAATCAATAATCATAACGTATATATGCTTCGGCATACATTTTGATTATGCCGATAGATTGGTTTCACGGCAAAATTCTAAATTTTTTAATTTAATTTTTATAATTCAATATGTAGGTATGCTATTGCAGAATACGAAATTAGATATATAATTGTATTATATCTTTGGTCATATTTAAACTCTACACTGTTTGGTAGTAATCATAGATAAATAAGTATAAAGTGTGGTGGTAATATTTAATTCCTTAACAATTTCAAACAAATTGCTAACTCCACTTCAATTTATGGCACACTACGATTTGGCGAGGTGACAAGTGTTTTAAGGTTATGTTTTATTGATTTTATTTATTTGATAATTTGTAATTTAATTAATAAAATAATTAAAATAATGGCTTTTATCAATTCAATGAAAGCTTGCCAAACAGCAGAGGAATTTATGCTGGGCTATTATGAAAGAATGGACAAGAGACGTCACTCTATGTCTAAGCTGCATTTGGACGGTGGGCTTTTAGTTTGGAATGGAATTCCAATATCGGGACGAAAACCGATACAAGAGCATTTTTTAGATCTACCATGTTCAGAACACCGGTTAATGTCCTTGGATACGCTACCAGTCATGGACGAAATCATCCGCTTACAGCCTCAGATTTTGATTTTAGCCAGTGGAATCGTGAGATACCATCCAAAATCCACTGACGTGGTGCAAAGATCATTCCATCAAACAGTCGTGATAACTGCTCAAGGAGATAAATGGTACATAGTTAATGATTACATGAGCCAATATAATTGATATGGTTGTATCAGATTATAATTTTCCCCTTATGGTGATATGCATATGCATACGAAAGTTTAGAAATGTATATTTCCTGATAAATAAAAAAAATTGACTTAAAATATAAGTATTATTACTAAGTTATAATAATTATATATATATATATATATATATATATATATATATATATATTTATGTTGTAGGTTGTATGGTAGTAAAAATTAATCTTACTAAACATCCTTTGTAGATTTCACAAAACTTTAATGCATTTCATATTATTCGTATTTCACAAGAATTGAACAAATTAAAATTGAATAAAAATGCGTATTCAATACAATTTATATCAATATTTTTTATAAATTTAACACTTTATTTTATAACCAGTTTTATGCTATACTTATTCACATTAAAAAACCGAAGATGAGTTCCTTCTCTGACAGAGCTCTACCTATATTTTATTTAAACATTGCCAAAATTAAACACTAATTATTACAAAAATATGCATATAATAAATTTGCGAAGTGGTTTTGCTCAAGTGACATGAGATGAAATAATAGTTTTGATGTTAGTTTATTCTGCAAAATTGTTTGGATTGGAAAGGTTGTCGAAATTTTTAATTCATCCTATATATAGTTTCACTAACATTTAAATGATACTATGAAAATTATTTACTATTTCAATTCAGAATTTATTTCATATTTTGCACACGAAAGCTGGTGCACTAATAGCATTGCACTTAGCAAACAATCTCATGTATTTCGATCAAACCTTATTAAATTTTGGCAACGCTTTCGTAAAGTGATTTTGCATACATTTTCTGTTATCTAATATATATATATATATATATATATATATATATATATACATGGTCTGTTCAAAAAGTTTTCGGAATTTTCGTTTTTTCAAAAAAATATTTATTTATTCGTCTACATTAATGTGGTCCCCTTCAAAGTAGTCCCCCCCAGATATAATACACTTATGCCAGCGTTTTTTCCAATTTTCGAAGCACCCTTGATATTCACTTTTTGATATGTCCTTGAGCACTCTCAGCGGTTTTCTTCAATCGAGGAAAACCGCCGTCCTTTCATGGGTCTCTTCAACTTTGGGAATAGGAAAAAGTCACACGGAGCCATATCTGGTGAATTTTTGCACTTTGCAACACTTTATTTCATTTTTTACGCAAAATTTAATACAAATTCTTTGACTTTTCAATTCTTCCATTGTAAAAATCGCCGAGCTCAGAAAAACACGTCGAACCTTAGCGACTACCACAGACAAAGTAAACAGTGAATATAGCTGAAAATTTCATCATACTTTAGGGGCATGTATACCAACACAATAAAAAAAAAAATTTTGACAATCAGACACTCCAGACCCGCGAAATTTAATTATTAGTAATTCCGGGTACTTTTTGAACAGACCTCGTATATATATATATATATATATATATATATATATATTTATATATATATATATATATATATATATATATAGGTTGGCGGCTTACAATCAACAGTTCTTACTGGGGCTGGATCAAGGAATAACAGAATAAATATCTGGCAATGCTTTAAAATTTTTATGAAGTTGAAATATGTAGAGTTATAATATTATTTTCGATTATTTGAAACTGAATATCCCTATTTGATTCTAAAACAATATTCAGTATTGGAACGTGTTCGAGTTGGAATATACGTACTTCGATACCTTTACCTACCTGTATTTCTACGGATATAAAAAGGTTATCGCTTTTTAGTCACATACGCGCACCGCCATGGACCAAAAATAAATAAATATAAAAAATATATGTACGTTATATATACATATGTATATATATATATATATATATATATATATATATATCCATTCCTACCTGACCCTATGGTCATTTCTTGTATGACAACCATGGAGAGAACTCGATTTTCTCTCTCGGACCAATCAGACAAAACGGATGGCGGTGATGTATCGCATGTTTTTGCCGCATAATACACGGGGTGACGGATGCAATGGAAGAAATGCTTTTGAAAATATCTAGTAAAAATGACACGTAAAGCTAGAATAAGCACAGAGCCGCACTGGAAGGCTTAGATGGAGCATAGTTAAATGTGAACATTTCAGATATTAAACGATAACCTATGTTTTATTTCGCAATACTACTCGCGACACTATATATAAATTTATCTCATATATATATATATATATATATATTATATATATATATATATATATATATTATATATATATATATATATATAATAAACTTCAATTAACACCAGACAGCAAATTCACACACCTGCTGGTCTATCTAACTTCATACACATTGTGCCATCCATCTTACTAATTTTAAACTAATATTACCGTTAAATTTAAACATACAATTAACTACATAATATTATTTACTTTTGTACGTCTCTATTTTCACATCTAATTTCTAATTACTCGTTTGTTGCCTTTAATAACACCCTCAATATTCATCTCTATATGTCATAATATATAATCTATTCACACATATACATTATTCTTTCATACATTCTCAAAATTTGAAAAAACTTAACAATATTTTTTTTTACTTCTTATTGTTTATTTTCTATATGTTATTTTAACTTGTTGTTATTGTTTTTCCTGGAGTGATACTAAATTTCAAAAAAATTGTGAATGATGACGCACAATCGTATCGAAACGTATAAATAAATAGTTCTTTATTTATTGTTTCTTTTATTTCGACGATTAGCTACAAATTAACACTCAAGTATATGTCTCAACGTCGAACAAAAAACCTAAAAATTATATATATATATATATATATATATATATATATATATATATACATACATACATGTGTGTGTGTAAACTAGGTGGCCGGCAACTAGGTTGTTTCCATAACAAATATGTCTAGAAAATTTTTAATATAGAAAATAACTTACTGATGGTGAATGTAGAAGTGTGTGGTTAAGTGAAAGCGGCAGCTAATATAAGTTAAGGGGCCGATTCTGCCGTAAAAAAGACAAATTTTATGGCAAGGCTATTTTATGTAGCAGTTTTGTACAAAATCGTACTAAATACTGTAAAAAGCCATGTGGTTGCTTTGTAGTCAGGCGTTTTAGTTAAAAAAAAAACTTATTCTACGTACAAATGTCAAAAAAACGATTTTATGATAACTTATTTTTTGTGATATCGTTTAGTACATATGTGTAAAGTTCATTTTATTCATAAAACGCCTGATCGTGCAGCAAATACATGGCATTTTGACAGCATTTAGTACGATTATGTATGAAAACCGCCACGTAACATAGTTTTACCAAAACATTGGTCTATTTCACGACAGAATCTGCCCTTATATATATGGTTTAACAGCAACGCATGCCTCACATAAATGTTCCTGGGACATATTGATAGTCATTGCAAGTGCCCGAAAGCACTTAAAGCAAAGAAAATTGATCCCATAATTCAAATAAAGTGTTAAAGTGTTAAAGTCGAACAACAGTAAAGCAACAAACACACATATATTATTAGATTATTCGATATGTATTAACAAAATGATTTATTTGGCCACCACCACGAATATTCAACAAAAGATTAATATTTGTGGCGTAATTTCCATAAAGCTCCAGCAGTTTAAGGATAAATTTTTAGGCTTTCTATTAATCGTTCTAATGAACAAAAATAAAATAAAATTTTAGATCAAGATTCGACTCTGCTCAACATTTCCTTGTACCTACCTATATATAAAGTTTTCATTTTGCAGATCTACGAGCATGCAATGAGTTTTTGACGTACTTAGACTATATCCATTATTTCCTATCACTACAATTCATCTTCGGTAAATCGACCAATGCACTTACTACATATACTTTGGCACGATTATATATATATATATATATATATATATATATATATACATACGTGTTTTTTTACTAGAAAATAGGTGTTATCCACATGACTTGAGTGAAGCAGGAAATCTATTTCAATAATTTCGAAACAATTCGAGCGAATCTTAACTTAATATGCAACATATTTTGCAAGGATCAGTTACCTTCTTGAAAATTTTTGTTAGTTGATAACGAATTTTTAGAATATGTGTTTAGAATAAATTTTCAAGAACTTTCTTTAACACTATACAAGACTTTATTGTGTTAAAGTCACGGTTTCTGAATTGCAAATTTTACTTAATCATGAAATAAATATAATAATAATGATAATAATACTTAATCGTGTATTTATTAGTTAATACAATATGTTATTTAATTAATGACAAAGGTAAATAAAATATTAAGGTAAATAAACCATTAAGGTAAATAAAATATTAAGGTCATGTGAAACCTTGCCTTACTTTGATCATTTTTTTAGCTCGCTTCGGATCGATGAGGACTTCTTTTATAATTGTATTTGAAACAATTTTGCCAAGTTACAGCCCATTATGAACTATAGTAACCTTAACCCTGATTTTAAATTTAAATTGACCGGGCTATAACCTTAATTTATATTTTTTAAAACGTAAATATGTAACATGTTTTTCAAGGAACAGTTTACTACTTTGAAGTTTTTGTTAGTTTCACACTAATTGATAGAATTCATTGTGATATTTTACGAAAACATCGATGTTTATTTTAAAAAGCTTGGTAAAAATTTTGGGAGACTTCATCGGCTTTCTGAAATGCAAATTCTACTTAATAATATATCGATTAGTTAATATGATTTTTTATCTTAATATTATTTATGGCATAAGTATAATTTAGATAGATAGTCGTTATAATTTAGATAGGTAGTAGATTTAACATGTATGCATCCCTATGCATTATGTGGTGTATTTTCAATAATGCCATTACCTGTCTTCTAAAAAAATGGTAGTATTGAAGTTTTAATGTTTTATTGTTGCATTTTTATATCCATTATTTGGTCATAAAACCTAACGGATATCTTTACTCTTTCGTAGTTTTTATGATCATAAACGTGGACAGTTTATACGGTTAAAAACATGTGGTAGCAAAAAGTCAAAATTTCACTTTCATTTTAATATTTTA